TGTGCCTGCGTGGGTTTTCTCCAGGCACTCCGTCATCTTCCCACATTTCAGAAACATGCATGACAGGTTAGCGGAGCACTCTAAATTGTCCCTAGGCGTGAGTGTGAGCGCAACGCAGATGGTTGTTCGTCTCTGTATTCCCTGCAATTGGCTGGCAACCGGTTCAGGGTGCCCCCCAACCCGCCTGCTGTCCGAAGACAGCTGGGATAGGCTCCAGCATGCCCCGCGACCCTCGTGAGGATACGGAGATTAGACAATGGATGGATATAATTTTTAACCCTTGGGATTTTTTTCAGATATATTACAACACTTGGCAACTGTTTTAAATCGCAAAAAAAAAAATGGATGCCTCCTGATAGTCTTACGGCTTTGAATGCGAGTTTGCTTCGGCGATTTAGTCTAATTTGTGTTGTATATGCGTATCCTCAAATCCGTTCTTTTAAACGCATCGAATAGTCTGTAGATTAATTAAATTAATAGCTTTTTCGCCTTCATGAAAATGTCAGTCGAATTCACTATTTTATTATTTCAAATCAAGGGCACGAGACTTTAAGGTTCCATCGACTGTCATTTTGTTCCATTGGCCAACTTGGCTATTATTAGGCGTGGAAATCAATTTCTCCAGCAGGGGGCCCCCTTGTTGTCTGCTTGAGAAGCTCAGACTGGCTAGCACGTTTGTCTCATATTGTACTTCCAAGAACTAGAAGTTGAATCTCGACTCAAGCCTTCCCATGTGGAGCTACATGTTGTCCCAGTTGAGTACGTTTTTTTTTTCTTTTTTTTTTGCAGGCATTACAATTTCATTTCACATTCCAAAAACAAGCATGATTGTTTAATGCAACACTAAATTTTGATTTTGCGTGACCTGCGTTTGGCACTAATGAGAACAAGCGCGATAAAAAAATGGATCGATAATTTTACTGACAGCATGTATGAAGAGCAGAGTCATTTAAAAAAGAATCCCTGAAAAGGATTCATTTTACAAGAAGGAATATTCTCCATTTAAAGATGAGGCTTTATCTAAATGTTCCCGCATACCTGTCAACTCATACGTTTAGCCATAGTTCATACGGATTTTGTGGTGAATCTTACATATATGGCCATATCGCACAAATCATACGGACTCTGAAAATTTCCGGGTTTTTTTTTCCCCTAACAGGTAGTTCCGTTGCTTTTGCCCAGAATGGTGCTAGTCTACTCGAATGCTTTCATTTCCGGTAACTTTCCAGTAAATCACGTGGTTCCTAGTTGAAAACAGCAGAGTATTCATTGCATACTTCGGTAGTGTACAAGCAAGTTCTACAAGGAAACAAATATATCATTCACATTTCGTGGGTTTTTTTCTGCCGTTATTTTGACATATAAAATGCTTTGGTATGTTATAAGGATTTTTTGCTCTTTATAAGGATTTTTTTGGTAGTTTATACAGGTTGGCGCTCCGAAAAGTTGACAGGTATGGTTCCCTTTTATGCCTTTTAGCACACACAGCATGAGGAAGCTTTCGGAGGAAAAGACAGTATCATTGTGTCACCTTGCTGAACCTCTAGCCATCCAGAGGCAGGAATCCAGCTGAGATTATATACTACAGAGCTGCACTTGACTGTGCATACATACAGGGGGTGTATTCAGTTCTATGGCTAAGTGAGTGTGTGCATGAGTGCTGCTGTTGATGACAAATCATGTCAAGGTCAAAAAATGAAATTGATGAAGTGGAAGATCAGATGGTTTTCCTGTAGCGTGTACAATGTCACAATATTGAGTCTGTTTAAAGGCGATTTAAAAGAGGGCATAACTGATGAAGACAAATATGAATGAACATTATCTTTATTAATGTGGCACAATTATGCTTGATCTTACACACAACACTGTCTGACTGTTAGGTTAGGTTGCAGAAATATCAGCGCATGAGATTGGATGCGTAGCCTGTGAATACCGTGACAGCTTTCAGGATTCAACAAGAGAAGCTATCTTGCTTTTCCCTGCACTGAGATGCCCTTTGCACTATTTACTATTGCTCTATACAAAGGATACACCGTAAACGGCGCTCTGTCAGGATATATTGTAGATGCTGTGCTCGACACTTACAAAGCCTAAAGTAAAATGAAGGGGCAGCTCTGGTAAATTACACCGTTTGATGCAGTGTAAGCAAATGTCAGAAAGGCTCTCTCCTCCAAACAACACTATAGAGAAGATGAGGCAGCCAAAAGCTTCACTCACGGCCTGGTACCCATTCATTCTCTTCCTGTTGATGCATATGTTCATATTTTTTTGCTTGAGAAAGTCACTACGTCGAAAAGGGCGGCCCGGTGGGCCAATGGTTAGCGCGTCAACCTCACAGTTCCGAGGTCGTGGGTTCGATCCCGGTTCTAGCCTTCCTGTGTGGAGTTTGTATGTTCTCCCTGGGCCTGCGTGGGTTTTCTCCGAGTACTCCGGTTTCCTCCCACATTCCAAAAACATGATTGGCAGGCTGATTGAACACTCTAAATTGTCCTGACGTATGAGCGCGGTCTGTGTGCCCTGTGATTGGCAGGCAACCGGTTCAGGGTTTCCCCCGCCTACTGCCCGAAAGTGGCTGGGATGGGCTCCAGCACCCCTGCTACCCTTGTGATGATACAGTGGATCGGAAAATGGATGGGTTGACTATGTCGAAAATAAATAAAGTAGAACCTCTAAGGTAGAACATTTCTGTTCTTTTGATTCCAACACAAGTTTGGCAAAACAAACTATTGTGTTTTGGGACCAAACTGCCCTGATTATAAAATCTTTCCATCAGAGATTTTATGTCATTCTTAACTGTCCTGTTAAACCACCACATGGTCTGCGCTACCGGGCTGCAGTTCCGTTTAAGGGTCCTGGCAATCTTTATAGGATAGCCCATCTTTCTGTAGAGCAATTATTTTCTTTTTTTCAGATCACCCACTCCCAAGAGAGTTCTTCCAGTGACCAGTATGTGTCAGCAAAAATACCAAATTTAACACACTTGCTCAGCTGTTTCCCATAGGCACCTGCGGCCTAATAAAAGTTATGGGTCGCATGACACCAGGAGGGTAAATGACTGATTAGGCCAAAGGTATTTTTACAGTTTCACCTGGCATTGGTTTTTCCTCGCCACGAGTAGGATTTCTCCCAAAATCTGTGTGTGGGTGTGTACTCTACTTTACAGGCACATTTTATCTTACGATTGGCCACATGCTGGTGTTAAGTGCCAACACAGCATCACATAAATCCACTGCACCCGTTCAGAGTTCTATGCTCCATCTTTCCTGTGGAGTACTTCATTGACTATTCAATTGTTAGCTGCAGGTCAGAACTTCAGCTGGACGCCACATATCAGCCCCCAGAGACACATGCTTGAAGGGGCAGCATGTCTCAGTCGTAGAGTTGTCATCTCTCAACCCAGAGGTTGGGGGTTCAATCCCCGGCCATTGCAACCATGTCGAAGTGTCTTTGAGCAAGATTCGGAATCCCCATTTGCTCCTGATGCTGCGTCATCAGCAGGTAAATGGGGAAACAGTATAAAGCGCTTTGAGTACCAAAGGTAAAAAAATGCTATGTAAGTGACAGCCCATTTTACCATTGAGGGTTCTTTGCAGGAGCTCAGCTGTTCCCAGAATTGTGCTCTTTCGGACAGAGATTTCATATGTTGCTCTTGGTATCTGCTGGAGCCATCCACCCAGCTTGGGGGTTACTGCCCACAATGCCTTGATCACGACTGCCATCACAATTGCCTTCACCTGTTACATTTTTCTTGTTTTTCACCATGCTCCATGAATGTCTTGCACTTTTTCCAGAATGCCCTGGTTCACAATCACCTGACACCTTGTTGAAGCAGGCGAAGTCTGATCTGGTATGACTCTCACTTGATTTTATGATCCAATACCTCAGGAATGTATTAAGGAGAAAAAAAGAGCACATCCAAAATGCCTTTATTTATTTGTTTATTTATTTTTAAAGAAAACTATTCCAACATGAAACCTTTTTATGGACAGTGAAGCAGTGGTGTAAACCAAGTGAAACAGTGAAATCCTTTTTCTTTCGTTTTTGTTGGGGCACATCAGTTTTTCAGATGACGTATTGGTGTTAAATAGCTCTTTACTTTCTACCATGCAAAGCACTCAATTTACACGCATTGCAAGTATTCGTTGGACTGTTTACGCTTTTCTCATTAAATATTTTCATACTGCAGACATTATCATTGTTACGTGACGCTAGCTTCACCTTAGCTTCCCACAACATTAACCAGAACGTTGCTCCCGGCTGTGTTGACTTCCGCTGTTTCCAGCTGTGGTACGATGGTTAGCATATCCTCACATTACAGTGGTCCAGGATTCGATTCCAGCCTCCGGCCTTCCTGTGTTCAGTTTGCATATTCTTTTTGTGCGTGCATGGGGTTTTCTCCGGGAATTCCAGTATCCTGTCACATTTCAAAGGCATGCATGGTAGGTTAATGAATATACCTGACGACTTATGTATATATATATATATATATATATATCTATATATATCTATAGATATATATATATATATATATATATCTATATATATCTATAGATATATATAGATATCTATATATATCTATAGATATATATACATGTACACACACACACACACACACACGTCTAGTCTGTTTCACAATGAAATAAATGGATAAATTAAAAAATATATATATTTTGGGTTTCGATTAGCTGCAATTTTATTTATTTAGAATTGCCCCCCCCCAAAAAAAAATACAAAGAAATTGAAGTTCCGTCTCGATTCAACAGCTGTTCGAGATAGATTAGATTTTATCTATGGTTTCAGGGTACTTTTGGTATCGCAAAAATCACGACACAAGTACTAGTAGTCTAAAGGTAGCACTAGTAGTGGAAAAAACGTTACTTTAAGGAACAGTCCGTCTACTAGTGTAAAGAATTGTTTTGCCAGAATGGACAAAGAGCGGACAAAAGCACATGATGGAAGTCAAGGATAAAGAATAATGCTCTTAGGGCTTTCCATAACACACAACAAACGCTGCAGTGGCAGAGCGAGGTCGATGGCGCCTTCGCCTTTCGGCCCCTTTAAAACTGTGCAGCTTTAGCGGTGGGATTATTGGCGCTTCGTCGACAAATCGGCGGAGCGAGAAGGGACGAGCAGCTCGAGAGAAAGAGAGAGGGACGGCGAGGGGGAAGGGGTGGCGGGAAGAAGGAGGGGGGGGGGGGAAGAAGTCGAACCGGACGACTGGAGGAATCATGGCGGCACCGCTCGGACGGGACACCCTACCTGACCACTGGTCCTACGGAGTTTGTAGGGATGGCCGGGTGTTTTTTATCAAGTGAGCCACTTTTCATGCAGTCACCCGTCGGTACTTGTTGGAATACTCAACGCGAGTTTTTTTTCAAACACCGTCCTCAAAGTAACAGGTGTCTTTTTTTTTTCCAGTGACAAAACTCGCAGTACCACTTGGCTTCACCCGCGAACTGGCGAACCTGTTAATTCCGGACACATGATACGTTCAGGTACGCCGCAGATCGTACGAAACGCAGACTGCTCTCTCAGATGTGGCGCATGGCTCGGCGTAGTTTTGATTTGGTGTCCTGCTTCTCTTCCAGATTTGCCGAGAGGATGGGAAGAGGGATTCACGGACGAAGGAGCCAGCTACTTCATCAAGTGAGTGGCTCATCATTGCATTGTTTGCTGGTCGAACTGCGATACCATTTGTATTTTAAATGTTTGCCGTGTGTAGTTCAGGCACGTCTGGAATGCCAGACTTGTCTTCAATCGCTGATGCTGCAAACATGTCCAGCAATCAGTTTCAGTTGGAGTTGAGAAACAAATAACACAGTAAGGAGTGCCACTGGGTTGGTGACAAAAATAATTGTGCTTGCGGTGTGTGTAAAGTGTGTAAAGTGGCAACCTAAGCAAAGCAGGAAGGAGGAAATTAAAATTCTCCTCACATCATGCTCCATGCAGGACCTCTACTCTCTCCATTAGGTAGGCGTGTGCGCGCTAGAGAGAGAGAGAGGGAGCGAGAGGGCGGTGTAGAGGGAGAGAGAGAGAGAGAGAGAGAGAGAGAGAGAGGCTGTGACCTTGTGGTGACAGAGATGTATACCAAGATTGCATTATTGAAGCGGGGAGGACAGATTTTCCCAAAGTCACAAACTACAGTGTGATTTGTTTCTGTGTTTTTTTCAGTCGAAGTGTTGATAGCTGACAAAATCATCAATAGTGCAATGACCCTTTTCAGATTTTGGAAGTCAATGATCCTGCTATACATCTGGTTTTAGAAAAAAACACGAACCCGTTGAGGCCTTCAACTTGAGCAAACAGTGCATTGTTGTACATTAGAACAGTGTTTCCCTTTTTATTCAGCCAAAGCATATATTTTATAAGAGAAAAAAATGTCACAAAAAGGGATACACAGGTTAAACTATGTACTTCTTACCGTCTAATGGAATGGCATTACATTGTTCTGCCCATCACTGTGCATTGCTGACATACCTTTTGATACTGTAGTTGAACACATTCATTCAAAAAATAAAAAATCTCGGACGATTAGTTACATGAGTGAAATTTGATAATTTCCCACCGCACACCTGATGATCTTTTAAGGTTAATGTGGCACGACACAATGGTTGGGAGTTTCTGGATTACAATAATGGACCATCGCTAAAATCTAACCAAATACTACTCTTAGCGATTCTTTGTCACACATCAAGCAGTTGAGCATTGCACATTTACCGGCACATTGCAATGGAAAAATTGCGACCCTGTACCTGTATTAGGTTTTGATGCTCCACATGCACCATACTCAACTACATTATTTTTTTAATGAATTACAAAAACATGCTGTGATTGTCAACGAATAATCTGATCGCCATGAGTCAGAGTGGCACCGAGTAAGTGTGGATATTTTTAGAGGCTATTAGCAATGATTGATCACCTCACTCAATAAGTGATGGTTGCCACTTATGACCGGCACACTGCATGACAGTTCTGTCCGTTTTGGCCGCGTGACCTCAGAAGGGTCCTAACATTGTATAATATTGCAAGCTTTTGGTCTTTTTGCCTTTTGTCACCATCATCAATCACTTTTATGTCAGTAATTTGCAGTTTATTGTGTCCACTTGCGAGCAAGTCACCATTTTGTTGAGTTTAACCATGACAGCAAAAGATCAGTGTGCTCATCATGAAGAATAATCAATGTGTCCACCATTATGAATGATTAATATGTCCACTGTGACGTAGGTTCAATCTGTCCAACTGTACTGTATTTTTACGTTATGCTCATTCAGCATCATGTGATACCGTGGTATCCAGTTAAAAACACTTAATCCATTTCAGCTCTCCAAACACCCACCCCAACAGTTTTGTTCGGTGTTAAAAAAGCACCATATTGTACAAAAACATATAGAAATGGTTTGGCAAAATGTCATTACTGTATGCTGGGTCAAGGCGAGTCTCAACAACAACTGACGTCTTGTATTTGTGCCTTTAAGGAGTGTGGTCGAGAGCAGTGTTTCCCAACCTTTATTGACCCATGGCACATATTTCACATTGGAGAAAAATACAAGGTACACTACTTTGCAAAACAATTGACAAAAATTGGGTACAGAGGTTAAAAATGTATCTTCTGTCATCTAGTGGGAGAACTTTTGATTGAAGCTGCTTGCAAATGTTCTGTCATTTTGTATTTGTCTGTTTGGCTGTTTGCCCCATTCAAGAAGTGATTTTCAAAAAGAAGCCCATCACAATTGGCCAGCATTGTGAAACTCGCATTCCTCCCTGCCTCCTATAAAGAGAGACCGAGCAGCAAACCTCCTTTCATGCACTGTCTTGCTTCTTGGTACAAAATCAAACCCGATTTCAGAAAACAAACACAAAAAAAAAACACCTTACTCATGACCTAGCCCAGAACGGAACCCATTTTCTGCAGTGCTATCCTCATGAACAACATCTACCATACCAGATCATTATGATAAAAGAGTATTGTGAGCTCTGCAGCACATCTTAAACACAATAACCTTTAGGTCCCTAAGCCCCATCCTGACTGACTGTGTTCCAGCCCCCCCATTAATAATTATCACTGCAGACATCACAAAGAAGGATCAGAGTGTCCAGCCCTATACCCTCTCCTATGCGCTGCATCTCAATGAAATTATGTTTATTCTCGAAAAATTACCACGGTGTCTGCAGTGGCAGCAGAGAGCTCACTGCTTTGGGGACCAATGTAGATTCTCTGCTGCTGGGTATGCTGCAGACATGACTGCAGTAAAATCACATCTAGGCAGGGGAAGTCAAAGTACTGAGACCTCAATACTTGTATAAAAAGACTGAAGTACAGACCCAAAGTACAGACTTAAGTGCAAAAGTAGAAATTAAATTTGACTGTCACTTATAATACAATACCTATGGAAGCCCATTTCAATTAAACATTTTTGTTTATTACTTTCTGCCAGTCTTTTTTTTTTTTTACTAGTGGAAACTACACATTTAGCAAAATTTTAACAAATTAAAAGGTCTACCGATGTGTAGAGCCAAAACTAGAGTGGTTAGAAGGGGTGAGGGAAAGCTTTGCTGATCTTAATGTCCATTTTGTTATGTTCAACTACATAATACTTTACATGAAGCCAACTAACTTTCGAGTGTACCATCTACATATCACCCATGTAAGGCTAATAAGTTAGTGCTTCAAACGTTGCTTACACGTGAACGTGTTCTGTCGGAAACGCCCCTGTAAAATTTCATTTTTATTTTTATTGTGGGAAACAGGCTTCACAACACTTTATTTCTTTTTTACTGGAGGAAACAGGCTTCCTGTCCTGTAGAATTTTTTTTTTCCCGTTAGCTAGCGTCATTGGTGTGAATGCTTCCTGGTTGACATTCCTCCTTTTGACTGCTGTCCCTGATTTTCGACATTGTAACAAAATATCCCAATCGCTTAATCACTTAATCAAACAAGATCTAAAAGCAGTTGATGTTCTCAACTCAACTCAACTGTATTTATAGAGCACTTTCAAACAGCCATCGCTGCATACAAAGTGCTATACATGGAGCAACTAACATATACAACAATAATAATTCTATTGTTCTATTTAAGTTTTTTCTTTTTTTTTTTTTGGAGGTCATGTTGTCATTCACAGTGGCTGAAAAAAGTAACAAGCCTATTTTAACGAAGGAGTAGAAACTGCAGATATATTTGTTCAAATGTGGGGAGTAAGTGTAAAAATACACAAACACAGACCTCTGAAAAAACCCCACTAAAGTATAGTAACAGTATTTTTGTATTTTTTACCTCAATACTTACCACCACTGCTTCTCTGTTATATCTGGGAAATTAAATGGTTTTGTGTTTATTGCTAGATTCTCTGGTGACAAACTGATGAAAAAGTAAGTCTGGGCTGTCAGCTGCAGACAAGGCTCTGTCACTGCCATCTACGAAATAATGGGATATGCAATCCAGGTACCTTCTAGTCGGACATGCTTTAGAAGGCCGTGTATTTTAAAATTACTTGTTCAAGGTTAGCTTGTTGCATCACCCTTAATCTTGTCATGACCCAGTTTTATATAAACTCAGATGCGTCTGTCTGGTTGTCCCTGGGTGATAAGAGGTTTGTAGTCTGCTGATACGTACTTCACTATACACATCACAAGATACTGTCAGGATGGAATTGCTTGATAACAATTGTATTTGTTGTTGTGAAGACATTCATTGTGTGTAGAATACAGATGCCTTCTGCGCTGCAAAAAAACTGCTGGATTAATAAATGGTACTGTAGCTTGAATGTCAAGCCTATCAATTCAGTAGTACCCAGATGGATTTGTTGAAGTTTGTTTCTCAGGCTAGATTTACATTGCAGGTCCAAGTGCTAATTCAATGTATTTATATATATTACGCGACCATACGTGAGGGTCTACACTGTTTATTTGTTTTGGTCAGGTCGATGCAGATGTGAATACTGTACATCACAGAGCAACATATTCCAATGATGTTAACCAGACTCAAATTGATCATGGATATCCACTCTGTTATGTATGCTGCAATCACATTGGCAGATATCTTCTACACATTGTATTTTTATCTGTATCAGGAAAGAGGTCTGATTCTCATGTAACAATCATCTTTCATGTTTTTTTTCTGCTTTACACTGTTACAAGTGAATACAGTCACACATCAATACATATTCAATCTGTGCCACTTGGGAACAGAGTAATTAATCACTGACTGGTACGGTACTAGGCTGTCACACGTCGAAACGCAAGAGACAATCGGGGTGGGAGGAGCGTACAGCGTCGTGGGAGGGATGGTGCAAACGGCAGCCGTCATGCGTCGAAACGTAATAGACGATGGGGCCGGGGGATGTTGGGGTTCGTACGGTGGACATTCACTATGAAAGTTAATTGGCGACGGGGGGGTGGTGAGGCCATTACACGCAAATTCCCGATGACCAGCATGCCCGCACATCTGACCAATGAAATTACCAAACATATAACAGTGGAGCAATGAAATGGTCCGAGTCTGCCCTCTTAATGAATATCCATTAGCTATATACTGTATGAGAGACCGAGAGGTTCTGAAAGACTACTGTGTAACTAGCTGAGTTCTGCATTGTTTAGGAAAAAAAGTCAAACCAATGTTTAAGGTAAATAAAAGTTTTTAAAAATTAATC